GAGATGAGCAACTTGCAGTCGATATGCTTGCCGATAAGCTTCTCTTTGAGGTAGGACAACATTAAATAAAAGAACTATTCGACATATGTGGTATTGCACATAGTAGCGAAGCCAAGATTTTTAACAAGAGAATTCAAAAAAAAATGCAAGAACGCCATGTTCGAACATATGACCAACAACAACAATCCAGTATAATTCCACAAGTGGGGTCTGGGGAGGGTAGTGTGTATGCAGACCTTACCTCTACCCTGAGGGTAGAGAGGCTATTTCTGATAGACGACCAAAAACAATTTTTGAACTACATGTGCCAGTGTGCCACTATATTTGAAGCTTTCCTCTTGTCAAAGGGATTCAACAATTTGCATATATACAAAAGAATTTGTTTTTACTCTATTTACACGGTATAATTTTTGATAAAGGGAATTCAGTTGAACTCATTTCAGTACATGTAGCTCCACCCCTGAATACAAAAGTACCTTATGCTGCTTGATAAGCAAACCCCCTATTAATTTCCTGAAAGGACTTTACCAAAAAGAATTTGTTTCTTTTTGATTGCAAGTTGAGACTCTACAATGTTAATTCTTATCTAAGTTTGACAAATTTTTGTCCTTTTGATTGTTGATGTTTAGGCCTTGACTTATTCACACTTTTGCAAATATGCTTGTTCTGAGGAAGTTCCTGAGCTCCAAGACATGGGTGGCCCTGTTGAAGGTTGGCAAAATATATAATTTGGAACTACTTAATTTTTCATAAAAAAACATTAGGTTATAAAAGATACTGATGATTCTATTTGTGTCAAAAATTGAGAACAGGAGGATTTAGTGTTGCTTTTGATCCACTTGACGGATCCAGCATTGTGGATACAAACTTCACAGTCGGAACCATCTTTGGCGTTTGGCCTGGGGATAAACTAACCGGGATCACAGGAAGAGATCAAGTCGCAGCAGCAATGGGGATATATGGACCGCGAACTACATATGTTCTTGCTCTTAAAGATATTCCCGGGACCCATGAATTCCTCCTCCTTGATGAAGGTTTGAACATGAAAATAACAGTCTACTAAATCAGCAATATGAATCTGAACATTGAAATTGTAAAACCTTAAGGCAACAGGTGAAGTGACCAACGTTTCTTTTATTCGTAGGAAAATGGCAACATGTCAAGGATACAACAGAAATTGGAGAAGGAAAAATGTTTTCTCCTGGAAATTTGAGAGCCACATTTGACAATCCTGATTATGCTAAGGTTTGATAAATCATTTTTCATTTTTTGTTTCCAATTGCTGATATCTGTGGGATGCATGTTTATACAATCTGCCTTTCCTATACCTTTTCTTTTATTGTTCCCTTTTTCATTTTTTTTGGCTTGTATCTGGATTCTGGCGTTCTTAGTCAGAGGCGGATCCATAATTTGAAGCTTATGGATTCCCGTCGTAATCTCAAACTAATATACAATAATAACTGAGTTAATAGTTAGATATTTAGCGAATGTTTTAATATAAATACAAGGTCTACGTAAAAGTTACTGGTTCCCGGGAACCCATATACTATACTCTAGAACCGCCACTATTCTTAGTTGCTACTTATATGAAATTCTGTGTTCTGACTCTTGATTCTTGACAACAGCTGATAGATTACTATGTCAAAGAGAAATACACCTTGAGATACACTGGAGGAATGGTTCCTGATGTAAACCAGGTACTTTACTTGTGTACCTATAGCCTAAAATTGTCATTTTGAAGTTCATATATTCATTCTTGAATTTTTGCAGATAATAGTGAAGGAGAAGGGTGTTTTCACAAATGTGATATCTCCAACTACCAAGGCGAAACTGAGATTGCTCTTTGAAGTGGCACCATTAGGATTCTTGATTGAGAAAGCTGGCGGTTACAGTAGCGATGGGAAACAGTCGGTTCTTGACAGAGTGGTTATTAATCTTGATGATAGGACTCAAGTTGCTTATGGTTCAAAGAATGAAATTATCCGCTTTGAAGAAACACTCTACGGATCATCTAGGCTTAAGTCTGCTGAGGCAGTTGGTGCTGCTGCTTGAGGCCTGAGTGCAACCGCGCCATAAAATTGTTGGTGGGGGTGTTATAATTCTATTAGAGTACAAAGGGGAGATAGGTTAAGATCACAAGGCCAAAACTTGTGGCAGAAATGGGAATCAAACAGTTTCCTTTTTGCTGTATCTTTTAACTGCCAACTCTTTGTTTCTCAGATCGTGTTCAAATCTCCTGAAATGATGGATTTTCAACGTAAAAGTCGAAAAAGACAAATGTATCATGTAATCTTTTTATTCATAACTTATGCTGCAGAAAATGAGGCCGGGGACAGCAAAACATTGCTTGGAGTTAGGCTTTTAATACTTTTTCCTTATGAAATATATAAACTTCTATTTAGTCAAGCAACATCAGCATTTCTCAGTGAGAGGCAAAGACACTGAACTCACCTAAACTAAAAAGCAGACGAGGCAGAAGCACCAGATTAGGCATGTTGCTAAGAGGCTTAATAAATCTCAAATATAGTAGTTAATGTTCCTGTTTCGACGTAGAAGCTCTACCTCTTTACAAGAACTACTCTTTGGCCTAGCAACAAATGTACTAATCTTGATATTTCCCGCTTTGGGTCAAATCGTTTTCTCCAAAAAGTCTCATACCACTAAGAGATGCCTACACGTGTAGGCTCAATATTTTCAATTTTGTGTCGTCCTAGATTGTGTGGTTACTCTGCTTGTTTCCAAGCCTAACAAGAACGAGAAAAGGAGCAGAATCTTTTTTGTAAATACGAATTACAATTTAGCAGTATTTTCCTATAATAGCCATTGTTAACTAAAATGACCATAGCTAATACTTATAAGATCCAGAAATACAAAATACAAGTTAAAAGGGAGAATAAGTGACTATATAGCGCCAGGTAGGGGATCGAACCAAGGACTTTCTGCTTAGGAAAGTAAGACGCTCTATCCACTGAGCTACAGACGCTTGTGTTGGCATGTTCATTCTTTTAAATATTAATTACATTTCGCACACTTCTTTCCACCTATTGATTTATACTTCTGTATCTTTTCTCCGTCAAGTTAATTGGAGGAAAAAGGCTATGAAAATTGAATAAGAAACTTTCCTTTGTTGCAAATTACCCTTTTCGAAAGTTGAGTTCAATCTTTAAGGTTTTAGCATTGAACTAATTATATTTTTTTAAGTTATAGGCTCATATCTATTATTTATTGCTATTTTAATGACTTTTTACATATAAAACACTCCACGTCAAAAGTATTAAATTCAGATAAACCTGGAATATGCTGCATCTGCCCATGCTTCTAAGCCCGGGTGAATACTTGAAAGCGTTTGAGTATTATGAAACCCTACATTTCATATTGTAATTGTATTATATACATGTTACAATGTGGGTTATAATGTGTTTTTTTTTCTCCTTATGAAAAGCTTTATATTATTTTTAAAATATAAAAATTTCTCAAAAATTAATTCAGTATTTTTAAAATATTACTGTTAACAATTAAATTATTGAAGTAATATAAGAGGATGCATAAAACGAGCTTTCCCCATGAAATAATTGCGTCATAAAGTTTGAACAATCAAAGAAATTCATAGCATGTAGAATTATTTCAAGGAGGAAAACCCCATTAATTTTATGTAGCAAAAGTACTCTATTTCCTTTTCTTTAAATTATTTTTATGTGGTTAACATTTTCGGTCTACATTAAAAGTCTTGTCTACATATATATGGTGTCGTGCCTTGATACGGAATCTTGTAAAAAATTGAATATTTTTTTCAAGATTAAGACTTTGCCCTTAAATAACTATAGGCTTAATTTGTATATACTTTGTGCAAAGTTTTTATACTATTAGTCTAATTTAACATGTTATATTAAATTACTTTATTTTTCATGTTATCATATCAAGTTTGCTATGAATAAATTACATGTTGTTGCAGATAAATTAACTTGATGGTATAAAAGATATTATGCACTATCGGAACATAAAACTTAATAACTTTTAATAAAAGATATTTTTGAAAACGAATCCTTCAATTCGTTCAACTCTTCTAAGATTGGCCATACTGCGATAGCAGTGGAGATAAAACTTTTTCTACAAGCCGTAAAAGAAGTGCTGCCCCAGAAAGAAGAAACATAGGGGAAAAAATACAAACAATAATAACAAATTTAGTAATTTTTTACGAGTCTCGGAGGCTAATGTATACGCAGACCTTATCCCTATCTTGAAAGCAATGGCAACAAATAGTAATAACGGGAAACAATAAGAAATAGTTTGATTTATAATTGGTAATTGAAAAATAGTCATAGTTTCAAAAGTAATCGAAATTTAATCATTTTTTCATGCAAAGATAAAATCTGAACAAAAACACCCTTAAAAATCCGGAATAATTCCAGCATAATATCCTAGAGTTCGAATTTTTTGCATATGAGATTCCAGCAAAATGCATGTGCTAGAATTTCATAATGTGTTGGAGTTCCAATATAATATGCTGGAGTTTATACCTAGGAGCTCCATAATCCGGCATATTATATTAGAACTTTCCGTGTTTCAGCTAGGGTATTTTTGCCCAAATTTTATCTCCGTATAAAATAGTGGTTATTTTTCAATGACTTTATAAATGCTGACTATTTTTCGAGTATTAGTCCGAAAACGGACTAATTCATGCTATTTTCACATAATAACAACAAGATATTAAAAAAATAGAAGCAACAAATATAAACATACGAAGAAAATGAGAGCTTTATTTCTGTAGTGCTTTTCGCTGACATAAAAGTGATTTTGATTGGTAAACCACAACTTTAGTAGCAGTACACTAAACCTTAAAACCAACAAATAGAATAATAGTTTAGAAACATGTAACATGTATTATAAAAAAAATTTATCCAATCAGTAATCGACAACACAGTATCCCCTAATCGATGTCTCCTTATTATATAATCATATTTTGCTCCACTCTCCTCCTCTTCCTTAGACCTATATACAATTTCAACTGCCACTCCTACTTGGTTTATTACTCATTAACTTCTTTCTCCAACTCATATGTCAGTTATTTTCTATTTTTTCTTGCTTTTGTACTAGAAATAAAGGAAATTAAACGGATAGAACTTTTTTTTGTTTTGTGTGAGGTAATTTTAAGTTTGGTATGTTAGGATCATACTGTTGTGTATATGGTCTTCATTTCATTGCATTATTTCCTATTGTTCAGTTTGTTTCCCCTGCTACTAGCTTTTACTCTTCATTTCTTAAATATTTTCTTACTAGTTTGGCCAATATTTGGAATCCTTGTCTGATTTGTGCTAATTGTGCTTAATTTGAAAAGGGGTTTATGATTAAGTTGTAAAGTTAGTTGTTTTTTTGCTAATTTTTCAAGATTCTAAAAAGTTGGTTGTTTCTTCATATTATCTAATTGAGGAAAGAGGTATACTTGTTCCAAGTAATGATTCTGAATTTAATATCTTTTGTGTATCATAAATTGACAGGATATTATACGTACTCTTTTAAGTCCAAGAAAATTGAGGATTCTTGCATTGGCTTGTGACTCTAAGTTGTGATATGGAAACTTTATTTCCTACTGCTTTTATCCCAAATTCAAATTGGATACTGCAACATAGCAAAAGTACAGAATGGACTAAGGAAGAGAACAAGAAGTTTGAAAGTGCACTTGCAATATACGACGAAAAAACTCCGAATAGATGGTCTATGGTAGCAGCTATGATCCCTGGGAAATCAGCACTTGATGTGATGATGCAGTACAAAGAATTAGTTGCAGATGTTAGTGATATAGAAGCTGGATTGGTCCCAACTCCGAGGAATTTCGATTCTGCTTTTACGTTAGAATTCGTCGATCATCGCGAGATTCATACGTTTAGAAAGAGAGGCAAGTCTTGTGATCAAGAAAGAAAGAAAGGTGTACCATGGACAGAGGAAGAGCACAGGTGCATTCCCTTTACAATTATCTTCTTAGTGTGTTTGGCGTACACAGGATTTTATATAAGCAGCGTCACAATTTGAATAAATGGGCAAATGATAAATCGTTATAACGAGAAGCGGTGTTATTTTATATACGTATCCCCAATATTTTAATATTTCTTATAAATATCTAGTAAAAAATTTCGACCAAGCGGTGTCCCGTGATACCGCATGGTATAAGGTGCATATGCCCCCGTTTGGAGTTATGTTGTTTGGTTCCTTCCAAAATGATGTCGGGTGTGCGTGTTAGATCATCCAAAAATAATGCATTTTTGGAGGATCCGACGTGGGCAGTGACAGAGCCACGTAGAAACAAGGGGTTCATCCGATATCCTTTGCTCAAAGGATTTACCTATTACACATGTATATTACAAGTTAAAACTAATAAAATGCATGATAAATACAAGGGTTAGATCCCCTAACTTAAATTAGAAGCTTGATATATCCTATTTTTATAAATATTAAATCCCCTTAATGAAATCTTTGGCTCCGTCACTAGACATGGGTGCGGGAGCACTTTTTTAAGTTTCTAGCAACATAGCTTTGGGCCTTCTTTATGATCATTCGACTTGATGCAATGAAATCGATCAAAAAAACACGAAATGTAAGTTAATATTTGTTCCATGAACCTAATTCGTAGTGATTAGCATGCAACGTTCAATTTCCCCTCTCGTTTGCTCTAAATTTGATTGTTTTTTTAATGTTAATAGACAATAGTAATGTTCTAATTGCATTATAGGCGATTTCTTATGGGGCTCGAGAAGTATGGCAAAGGTGACTGGAGAAACATTTCTAGGAATTTTGTGATCTCTAAAACTCCAACACAAGTGGCTAGTCATGCTCAGAAATACTACCTAAGGCAACTTTCAGGAGGGAAAGACAAGAAGCGAGCTAGCATCCACGACATCACCACCGTCCATCTCACAGACGACGAGTTGCTCAACAATAACAACAACAACAACAACAACAAAAAATCAATGTGTGAAGAGAAGTATAGTATGTCCCCATTGCAGAAATTAACGAGCACAGGAGATGTAGTAATCGCCTGATGGAACGATTCAAATGATGAAGCCCTCGCGGCTTTTGGTTCATTTTATGGCAGCTTGGTTCTATAGAACCAGAACAATAGACTGATTGATTGTGGTTTGGTCAGAACCGTCGATTGATTGTCTGTTGGAGGATGTTGAACTAACATTGGTAGTTGTATTTTGCAGCTCCATTGTTGATCAAGTGAGGTTGAAAAGAAAATGTCAATATTGGATTTTGTTTGGAATCTTGAAGTAACGTAAAGCAAGTTTTAGTGTGGTATATGCCTAGTTTCTTTGTTGTGATTTCAGACTTTACACATGTAAATATTCAATCATTTTGCCTGAATAATGTATCTCTTCTTTCATCTGATCACAATTACATGTCTCTCCTGCATGAACAGTATTATCTTTTATTTTCGGAAGTTATTCCATACAGTGATGGAAGCAGGATTTTCATCAAATGAATTTAATAAATAAAAAAAGTAAACATGCGAAGAAGTTAAAGGAATTTAACATCTAATATACGTACATTTACTACATTTACTGAACTCCTTCCGCCTACCTAGATCTCCATAGAATTACATAGTGAACTATCAGATAATTATTGGGACCTAAGGTTCCCATTGTGTATAGGCTAGAGCCAATAAGTATATAGTAGTTCCACTTTTACTTTGTGCAGGGATTTTTCTTTTACTAAATGGAGAAAAAAGAGGAACCCCTTGCCTTGTATGTGCATGTATGCATTAAGCATTTTTTTCTTTTTAAATGACCTTAACTTTTATAAACTAACAATACTATCAAGTTAAGATGATTTACGGTAGAGTAATTGTTCATGATAATCCTAATTTGGTACCCTAAAATCACGTTATTATAGCAGACAGTGGCGAAGCCAGAAATTTCATCTAGGGTGTTTAAATTTAAATTAAGTAAAAAAAATCTCCGATAAAGGGTGACCAGTATATGTTACATAACATTAAAATCTAATATTTTACCTATATATACAGTGTAAATTTTCAACGAAGGGTGGTCATGAGTTGACCACCCTCAGGGCTATGTACCTTTGCCACTGATAGCAGGGCCGAAGCTACATTCTCATAAGGGTGGTCAATTGACCATCCTTCATCAAAAAATTATATTGTATACATAGGTAAAATATTAGTTTTTAGAGTTATATAATACATAATTAAACATCCTTTGTCCGAGATATTTTTTTCACTTCTTTTAATTTTGAATACTCTTGGAGAAATTTCAGTTTCGTTACTGTATTATAGTGTTAACATACTTTATACTGTGTATAAGTGTATCTAAGTTATATTCTTTTTCAAAATAAGTAGAGCACTACGTACAAGATATCAGACAAGAACCATGGCTCTAGAACCTGTGGCAGAAGTTAGCCAATTCAGGCTGTGTCACTTAGCACTATTTGAACATTTGATTGGGAGGTTATTAGTACTTTTCGTGTTCTTCTGTTCTTTTTCATTCTTTTCGGACAAAACAAATATCTGCAATTTGGCCAAGTTGACTGATTTTCATATCTTCCTGCTTGCCTTTTCCAGGATGCTGCTACTCCTGCTGAGTCTGCATTCCACTTATTTCAGAATCCTTGCTAACTCGCATAAAAATATATCCAACGTGAGAGTAATTTTGTTAATATTTTCAATTTCGTCCTCTTTTTTCATATTGTTGCATTATGAAGTTACTCCCACGTTCCACTTTGCTCACATAGTTTGATCTAGCACAAAATTTAAAAAAGAAATGTATATCTTTGAAGTTTGAAGGGGACTCTTGGCATAACTGGTAAAATTGTTGTCATGTGATAAGAGGTCACGAGTTCAAGCCATGGAAACAGCCTCTTGCAAAAATGCGGGGTAAAGCTGTGTACAATAAACCTTTATGGTCTGGCCCTTCTCCTAAAGTTTGTGTCTTAGTCATGCCGAAACATTTGTGTGACTATAACACTTTTGAAATTTGTGATTATATACGTATCGTAATATTTGTGTGACTATAAAAAATTTTCCTTAAAAAAAATATAAAAATATAATATTCTTTTAGAACGAACTAATAAGAAAATGGTGCTGAAGTGAAACGGAGGGAGTACTTTTTTTTTTTTCCTCATTTCCGCTAGCTATATCATTATAGGGAACTTTTGGTGCTATACATGTGGGTGGAACACCTAAGTCAAGATATCTTTAAATCTTGACTAATCCCACGCAATCTCTAACTTTCATGACCCTTGCTACTCTCTCTATTAACTATTAATGTAATTATTAAAGGCCTTTGCAATTTCTTTTATCCTGTTTATGTTAGGATATATTGAAGATCCCACTCTGAGGGTTGCTTAGATGGTCCGCATCCTCCACCTACAACCCCAAGGTCGTGGGCTCGAGTCAGCAAAGGAATTGTAGCTCCAACAAAGGTGGATTAAAGAGGAGTCAAAGGGGAGGGGAATTAAAAAAAAGGATCTTACTCTCATAATTTATGTTGCAACGGGAGGTTTATCTACCTCAAACGAACTAGTTTATTCTGAATGCCAAAAGGAGTCCCTTATACTATTCGTTTCAATTTGAGTGAATTCATTTGTATGAGTACGAAATATAAGGAAGAAAGAAAACTTTTAAAACTTATAGTCTGAAACATGAATTATAACATTTGTGTATATTCCTGTAAGATCTTTGAAATTAGTAGTCCATAAACATGCAATAATAGTTGTGTAGCAATAAAAACTCTTTATTAAGATTTAAGAGTAAAAGGAGAACTTTAAGTTAAATTATTTCCAAGAGAATATGATTGCATAAACTGAAATGGATGGTGTAGTACTTTTGATAATAACGGTCAAGAGGATGTTTATGAAGCTTATTCTCCAGACAGCATCATGAATTCTGAAAATATTGGACAAGGTTAAGAACCGACTTAAATTGGACAATAGCGGACAATTTTAATTCGGATGAGTTTAATGAATATCCTACTCAAGAAAATTTTGATGAAATTTTGAACTAAAATTAATTTGAACTTTGGTGGGTGTTTGGGGTTTCTTTTAGCTTTCTAATCTTAGTTTTATATTTGAGAACTATATTTATTCCATCCTAACATGTCGGGCTTCGCCAATCGAATATAATAAAGATAATAAACAATTATCTAAGTAAGTGGAGATAAGTTATATGAATAATTACTTGTTCATGTCATTCTATTTAAGCCGCATCAATTAAATTATGATGATTATATATTAACCTATTTTAAAACAATATAAATGCGGAACTACGCCGAAATATTTGTGCCATTTGAGCTGCTCTTTTCGCCAAATCTGAACAAAACTTTTGAGTGGATTGTCCCTTCCTTGGTTGGAAAAGGATCCGTTACTTTGATTCATCTTATTACTTTGTTTCTTTTCGGGTTTACTTTTGATTTCCTTCTCCTACAAGGAAATATACAAAAGCAATTGGAAAAGAGACCTTTTTTAGCTACTGTATGTATCTTGGGATTCGTCCTAAATGTCTGTTTTATGGTCCTAAAATATCAAAAAATAAGGAACGATCATAACGAAGCGATAATTATTATAGGTCCGCAAATTTTAGGAGATTCGGGGTCAGTCGACCGAATTCATGCAGATGACGTGGACTGTAGCATATGAAAGTTTAGGAATCGTCCCGAATTCCTGTTTTAAGGCTCTAAAACGCCAAAAAATGAGGAACGGTCATGGCGAAACAATGACTATTGTTCATTAGGTCATTTTTATGGGCCCGCAAAATTTAATGAGATTTGGGGCCGGGCGCCCGAATTCATGCAGATGGCATGGACTATAGCACACAAAAATCTGGGAATCGTCCTAAATTCCTGTTTTATGGCTCTAAAACGCTAAAACACGAGGAACGGTCATGGCGAAACAATGACTATTGTTCATTAGGTCATTTTTATGGGCCCACGGAATTTAATGAGATTCGAGGCCGGTCGCCCGAATTCATGTAGATGGCATGGACTATAGCACACGAAAATCTAGGAATTATCGTGAATTACAGTTTTATTGTCCAAAAATGCTACAAGACGAATAACAGCCATGTGAAGCGAAAACTATTGTTCATTAGATCGTTTTTTATGCGCCCGCAATATTTTTGGAGATTAGGGTCGATCGCCCGAATCCATGCAAATGGCGTAGAGTATAGCACACGAAAAAAATGAGAATCGTCTTCAATTCATGTGTTTATGGCTCTAAAATGTAAAAAATGAGGAACGATCATGGAGAAGCGATGACTATTGTTCATTATATCGTTTTTGATGGCCCCGCAAAATTTTAGGAGATTCAGGACTGGTCGTCTAAATTCATGCAGATGACGTGGACTATAGCACACGAAAATCTGGGAATCGTCTTGAATTCCTATTTTATGGTCCTAAAATGCCAAAAAATAAAGAACGATCAGAGCGAAGTGATGACACTTTTCATTAGGTCGTTTTAGATGGGCCCGCAAAATTTTAGGAGATTTGGGGCCGGTCTCCCAAATTCATGCAGATGGCGTGGACTGTAGCACACGAAAATCTGAAAACCGTCCTAAATTCCTGTATTATGGCCGTAAAATGTCAAATAATGAGGAACGATTACGGCAAAACGATGAATCTTTTTCTTTAGTCCGTTTTTTATGTACCCGCAAAATTTTAGGAGATTCGGGCCGGTCGCTCGAATTCATGCATATGACATGGACTGTAGCACACAAAAATCTGGGAATCGTCCTAAATTCCTTTTTTATGGTCCTAAAATACCAAAAAATGAGGAACGGTCATGGCAAAGCGATGATTATTGTTCATTAGGTCATTTTTAAAGGCACGTAAAATTTTAGGAGATTCGGGGACGAGCGCCTGAATTCATGTAGATGACGTGACTATAGCACACAAAAATCTGGGAATCGTCCTGAATTCACGTTTTATGGCCCTAAAACGCCAAATAAAGAGCAACGGATATAGCGAAGCGATGATTATTATTCATTAGATCATTTTTGAAAGGCCCACAAAATTTTAGGAAATTCGGAGTCGGTTGCTCGAATTCTTGCAGATAGCGTGAAAGTTCTTCTGGCAATCTCAGGCATGCTGATTTCGGGCATATCGCTCGAATTCATGCAAATGGCACAAAAATCTGAGAATCATCCTAAATTCCTGTTGTATGGCCTTAAAATGCCAAAAGGGAGTAACGATCAAGGCGAATTGATGAACGTTGTTCATTAGGTGATTTTATATGCCCAAATAATTTTAGGAGATTCGAGGCATGTCGCCTGAATTCATGCAGATGGCGTGGACAATAGCACACAAAAATCTAAGAATCATCCCAAATTTTTGTTTTATGGTCCTAAAATACCAAAAAATGAGGAACGGTCATTGTGAAACTATGGC